AGATCTTCTCATATGTGATTTCACATGACTAGTTCACATAAAATGTTCTTAACCATTGATAGATAAATAGCAGTGATAAAAGATGAAAGAGAAAAAAATATTATAATATAATGTGGGAAAAAAGTAACCCTAGATTTATTTATCAATGTTTAAGAGTCTTTTACAAAACCTCATCATGTCAAATCATACATGAGAGCATTGTTTTACACACAATTTATGATGCACCGACACTTCAAAAAATCTGACGTGTCGTGTTCGACACTGCAGCACAATTTGTAGAGACTCAAAAAAGGTTCAAATGTTGCATTCCGTTGCATTTTTAGTTCCAACTATTAGATTTGTTGGATTACTATTATCATTTTATTGGGTTTAATATAAATATTTTGGATATCTTATGTTTCTTTACAAAATTGATGGATATTATAAGTTTAGCTTTGTTTTTTTGTTAAATTATTGAATATTAAATATAATATACACTAGGTAAATTAAAAATATTATTTAATATCAAAACGTGTCCTAACGTGTCAAAATCTAATATTTTTTAGAATTAACATGTCGGAATGTCGTATCGTGTCATATCACGTGTCACTGTCGGTGCAACATAGCACGTGATATATGACCAAATGCACTACCAGCAGTGCATTCTAACTTCTATGGCATATTTTCATCATCTTCTTTCACTAAAAAAAAATAAGTAATTTGTGGAGGTTATTTTCAGGAGGTTATAAAGCTCCCAATAATTATATATATTATGGCATTTTTAGAAAACGCCACATCATATTTTCTTTTTTTTGTTAATTTTTATAATTTTGTGGCAGGTTTTGACCTCCACAATATTTATATGTTATAAATTTTTTTCAACAAATACTAAAAATCCCAAATTCTGAAAAATGAATGATTGCATCGTCTCTACTTGTTTTTCACACGATGCCTTCTCCTCCATCGCTTTCTACTCCAAAGTAACCTTAACTCAAATCACACACTTTCTCATTCGTTCTTGCGTCTGTTATCTTCGTTTTGATCTTCACTCTATTTTTGCTAATTTGTTACTTTGAAGGTTCAATTCTGATCCCAACGATATGGTTCTAGAGAGAAGCAGCAGTTGGGGTTTCAGAGAGAGCACTGACTAAATTTGAATAAGCCTTCTTCTGCCTCGCTCACCAACGAAGACGGTGATTCATCGGAGGACGATGAGATCAGATCGCGTAGCGTAACGTTCTCTACAGTCGCTCGTTACCATTAGATGAAGTTCAAGGTTCCTTCTTTATATCTTCTCGTCGAATCTCTTTTAGAATTTGTTCTTCTTCATTATCTGGAATAATCCTTGTGAACTTGAACTTCAGGTCATTTGATTTTGTTTCACTTCATCGATTCTTCTACTGAGATTCTGTTTCGTTGTTATTTGATTGGACTTGATGATGTTCAAAGGAATAGAAACATAAACATTTGATAATTACGATTCATGTTTTGAATTCTTTGATAGTTTTGAAGTATTCAGTTCAACATGCTTTTAAATATATGAAATTGATTTTTAAAATAATTTATTAAAAATAAAGTACTGTATCAGATAAGGATTTCTCCACACTAACGTTTCTCAACATTGTATGCTCCTCTCATCAGTGATGGGCGTATGGAGAATTTTTACTAGGCACCTACAAGGGAAGACCGCATTGGTGTTTGCAAGGGAATTTTCCGCAGTGACCGTGTGCCTGAGGAACATAATGTCAAGATTTTTCACATCTTCCCTGGCCAATCCATTGGTAAGTAACCGTAGCAGTAATTGAAAATCTCAACAAGTACTAGAACACTAAGAAATAATATAATAAACTAACTTCCTCAAAAAGCTTAAGCTGGTAAGTAAATTGTATTTCTAATATGCCTCCTCATGTATGAGTCCTTTTTGGAAGGAATTGAAGTATAACTATTGCACAAAATCGGACTCTAGATCACTTGATTATAGAGGTTCTAATATCATGTCACAAGACAACTGATAAACCCTTGTTTTACCATGTTTTTAGGCTAATTTATACAAGAATTGCATAGTGAATTGCATGGAAATTAGGGCTTTACATTATAAAATCATAAAGATTGGAATTTCTAGCTAACATGTTGTAATCTTGCCTAATTTGAAGGTATTTTGACATAAAAGAATGCTTAATGTAGCAAAGGAATGAAAAGAGATGTTTGAATACCCAAGGAAGTCCAAAGAAAGAAGTTACAAGCAATTCACAAGCTGATGGAGAACGTTTTAGCGCCCAACAGAGAGCTAAAACGCCCTAAAGAAGCAAAATAGCAAAAATCCATTGGAGAAGAGCGTTTTAACGCCCAATAGAGCATTAAAACGCCCTGACAGCACAAAGTTCCTTTCTAAGAGAGCGTTCTAGCGCCCATATGAGCGCTACAACGTCCTAAGGCAGACAACAATACACTAGGAGAGCGTTTTGGTGTTCTAATGAACGCAAAAGCGCTCTGACGCGTAAAAATTCAGGCCCAATTATTATCAATATCCAAATTAAGATTTGAATGAAGATTTGAAGGAGATTTGAATGAAAATTAAAAGATATGTTTCACCTGTATAAATAAAGGGCATTGGGACCAGAAAATGGGGGAAGAACGGAGAGGCGTATGAAGCAGCACAAGGAGGAATCCTTTTGCGGAGCGTGGGAGCACTGAGGAACCAAGTCAACATCACACCAATGGAGGCTTGGGGTTCTCGTTTTTTTATTATTGTTTTTCAATTCAGTATGCTAGCCTAAGTTTTTATGTATAGGGGTGAAAGTGGGCTGGGCTGGGCCAAGCTTTGTCCCCACAAGCCCGAGCCTACTTTAAAAAATTTCAGTTTGGCCTAGTCCAAGCCTAATACGAGTCTAACTATTCGCATGGCTTGGCCCGTTTATAAAAAAACAAATGGCCTGGCCTAACCCGTTAGCCTGTTAGTTTTTAACTTCCAAGCATAATCATGAATCAACTTTACAAAATACTCAAATTCTGTTGCTATACCAAAAATTATAATTTCAACGTCCAAACAGAATCATGAATCACAATAAAACTCATACAATCTGCATTTAAGTCAATTTCAAAAATAAAATTCTTAAACTAAATAACATATATTTCATCAGATCCAACAAATAAATCCATACTATGTAAACTAAAATAACTACATGAATCTAACAAACACATCATGATGTTTGTACTAAGTATAACATCTCCCAAAAACCTTTTAATATATTCATATACACAATCTAACATGCTGAGATATTGGTTCCTCCTACATAAGAAATAAAGTCAGATTTCTATTAAAATATAATCGAATATAATTAAGTTATAAATAATTGCAATTAATTAAATTTATATCTTTTATTTTTTCTTCAAGTCATACTTATTCTATTTAAACTAAATAGTACAATATAGGTCGGCTCGTAGGCTTATAGGTCAGGCCTTGTGAAAATGAGCCTACGATCTTTTTATTAAACAAGCTTTTTCAAGGCCCAAGCCCGACCTATTTTACGAAATATACTAGGTCAGGTCTGGCCTGACGTAGGCCGAGCCGTAGGCCTCTGTAGGCTGGCCTGGCCCAGTTTCACCCATATTTATGTAGATAGGGGTAAATGGAACCAATTGAATCTTTATGTTTATGAATTAAATTGACTTTGAATTCTTCTCTTTTTATATTGGAAAGAATTTATCTATTTTTAATGCTTTATATGAGTTTGCTCCTTATAGATTGATTTAGGGGAATTGTATGACAATATGGATGTTGATGTATGAACCCTGAATTGATAAATTCATCATAATCCTTGTGATCTAGGGATAGACATAGGACAATTGTGCAATCTTTAAATTCTTAATCTTAATGTATGTTTTCTTGGGGAATAATCGGAAAACTAGAGTTCTTTCAAGATCACATAGATTTAGAGTAACAAGGAATTGAGCCCTAATTAACTTAGAAAGAATTGATTGGCGTTATATTAAGAGCAGATTCTTGACCGTTTAATTCATAGCATTTAGAGGAGATTGAGGGAAATCGAAACCCTAACTACGCTTGTTTTTAATCTTTAATCAATCATCATCATTTTAATTTCTTTTAATTCTGAATTTTAAATTGCATGTTATTGCTTGTTTCAAATTCAATTCTCTCAAATCCAATTCTTGATTGTCCAACTAAATTGTTGTTAGCGAACTAGTGCTTGAAAACCCAATCCTCGTGGGAACGATCTCGTACCAGTACACTTTATTACTTTTACGACCGATGCACTTGCCGAAGTTGCAACAAGTTTTTGGCGCCGTTGCCGGGGATCGGATCCTTCAACATTAGAAGTAACTAAGAACTGTTTAGATTGGACATTTTAATTTTCTACAATTTTGAAATTTTACAAAAAACAGTTTCTGCATAATTTTCTGCATATTCTGCATTCTTTTTCTGCTTTTATTTTCTGTTTTTCATTTATGTATTTTTTGTTTTCTGCACATCTTTTAAATCTTGGTTTATGCGAGGTACTGTTAACCCACGAATCTTGCAGTTTGATCCTGAGATAGAAAAGACAGAAAGAAAACTCAGAAAGAGCACAAAAGAAAGAAAAGAAAAAGAAGCAAAGGAAGAAACTATGGCAGAGAATAATTGACTCTCACCTATTCCAAGGACGTTGGGAGATTACATGACCCCAGCTCGAGTTTCGCAGATGGCAAGCATTGTTAGACCAAACGTGGACGCTAACAACTTTGAACTCAAGCCAGCACTGCTGCAATTAATACAAAAAGAGCAGTTCGCTGGAGGAAGCACCGAAGACCCCTACAGTCATCTAGAGAATTTCTTGCTCTACTGTGACACCTTGAAGACGAATGAAGTCTCACGTGACGCCATCTTGCTCAGACTTTTCCCATGCTCACTGAAGGAAGAAGAAAGAGGGTGGTTGCGGTCACTGCCTCAAGGAAGCATCACCAACTGGGATGATTTGGCGACCAAGTTCTTGGCCAGATTCTTCTCAGCTTCAAAGATGGGAAAACTTAAAGCAGATATCACTTCTTTTGAACAAAAAGAAAGTGAATCCTTGTACGAGGCATGTGAAAGGTTCAAAGGACTGCTCAGGAAGTGTCCACAACATGGTTTTGAAGCTTAGGAAAAAGGGAGAATTTTCTTCCAAGGGATGACGCCTAACACAAGAACCTTGGTGAATGCTTCATCAGGGGGATCATTGAAAACAAAAACTCCAGAGGAAGCGCTGGAATCTTTAGCTTCTCAGGAGTTCGACAATGCTCCAGTCACTTAAAGGAGAATGGGGATCATGAAGCTTGACGGCTATGATGCAATATTAGCCCATAATGAACAAATACTGCAAATGAATAAGAAACAACAAGTACAATTAGATGCTCTTATAAAGCAATTTGCTAATTCTCAAGTTTCTTCTGTTAATAATTCTCAAATTACTTATGGTATTTGTGCAGGTACTCATGCTACAGAAGAATGTGATTTGATTAGAGCACCTGAAACTGCTGAAGTAAACGGACTCTGGTATGATCAGAAGAACCAGAGTGATCCAGGGAAGAGCCAGTATGGGAATGACTACAATCAAGGGTGGAAAAATCATAATCAACATCTAGGATTTAATTACAAATCCAATCATCAACTTAACCCTACCCTTCTAGTGCAACCACAGCCCCCACCACAAAGCAAAACTGCTGAGTGGGAGAAAGCTTTTGCTCAACTCTCAAAGATCACCTCTGATTACATACAAGGTGCAAATGCTATCAGAGAGGATACATCTGCCTTCATTCAAAAGACTAGATCAACAATCCGAAACCAAGAAGCCTATATCCAAAATCTAGAAACTCAGATTGGCCAGTTGTCAAGGCAATTTGCTGAGCGATCTAAGGGTACCTTCCCGAGAGACACTGTCATTAATCCTAGAGAACACTGCAATGCAATTACCACAAGAAGTGGGACAGTGATTCAGCCTATAGATAAGCAACCTGAAGAAAAGAAGAGAGATGTGGAGGCATCAGTTGAAGAAGAGAATAAAGAAAAGGCAAAGGATACTATTGAAGTTGACAAGAGAAATCCTGAAAAGGTTGAAAGGAAATTATTTAAGTGGGAGAAGAAGAAAACTTTAGAAAGGCAAGACAAGCCCTTAGATTTCTCCCCATATGCTCAAATCCCTTATCCGCAGAGATTAAAGAAAGAGATTCAGAAGCAGCAGTATTTAAAGTTTCTAGACATATTCATAAGGTTGCAGATCAACATTCCTTTTGCTGAAGCTTTAGAGAACATGCCCAATTATGCAAGGTTTATGAAGGATCTATTAACAAGGAAGCGTAAGTTACGGGAATGTGAGACGGTAAATCTGACAGAAGAATGTAATGTTATTATCCAAAAGAAGTTACCTGCCAAAGTCAAGGATCCAGGGAGCTTCAGCATTCCATGCATTATAGGCAAAGTGGAAGTGGACAACGTTTTATGTGATCTTGGAGCTAGCATCAATTTCATGCTACTCTCCATGATGAAGAAGCTGGGGATTACTGAAGTGAAGCCCACAAGAACGATAGTGCAACTGGCTGACCGCTCTTCAAAGCAAGCTTATGGCATCATTGAGGATATATTGGTAAAGGTAGACAAATTCATCATTCTTGTCAATTTTGTCATCCTTGATATTGAAGAAGATGCCACTATTCCTATGATTTTTAGAAGACCCTTCTTAGCAACCTTAGGAGCACTGATTGATGTGCTTAAGGGTGAGCTGATCTTACGAGTGGACGGAGAGCAGGCTATATTCAAGTTCTTTGATAAAGAAAATTCTCCACCTGAAGTTCAACTGGAAGATCAAGTCTACTATATTGGTGAAAAGAAAGGTGAAGAAGAGCACAATGAGGAGTCTTCTCAAGAAAGTAAGCCAAAGGTTAAGATGGAGAAACCTGGTAGCAAAGGAAATCATGTAAAAGTCAAGTTCAAAGTTCCTAAGACCACTTTACCTCATCCATATGCAGAAGAGCACTATGGGAGGACACAATTTCTAAATGATGGAGCTTGTCATCATCAAGTTCATGCTTTGAGCCACCATGAAAGTAAATCAGGTACGTCAGGCTCGTGACGTTAAACAAGCGCTAATGGGTAGGCAAACCCATACTTTACTGTTTTATTTTAATTTCACTATTTTAGTTATTTTTACTTTGAAATAAATAAAGAAAAATACAAAGATATAGGAGAAGGTGTTGAGACTAATGACTTTCATAGAGTGAATTTTACAGTGAAGAAAAGGGAACAAACAACAAACAAGAGCAACTAGTTGTTCTATTTCTTGACGCGTTTTCTTTTTAGATTTAAATCTGTTGTTGCGGACAGCAACATTTAAATCTGGGAATGGGGAACGCGCGGTTCATCGAAGCACAATTGAGTAAGCAGGAGGAACTTCATGACTACACACAGAACATCCGGCTAAAACAGGAAACTATCTCAAATCTCTTCTTCTTTGCTTTAGCTTTTTTTTTATTGAATTTTTAGTTTGTTTTGAAAACCCCCAATCTATTGTTTTTGTGAAAGTTTTAAAGTTTTTCTTACTCAATGCAAATAAATGGAAGATTGATAGGAAATTTGATCAGTGATTTGATTGAGAGCATCATGATGTGCGTACATAATTTTTTTGATAATAAGCATCATTGCAATAAGTGACATGATTCATCTAATATTTTCTTTGGGGATGAAATTGATTGAGATAAAGAACAGGAAAATTACTGTGCATTCATAAGCCGTGAGGTTTTGAGCCTATACAGAAATTTTTTATTGAGTGTGCATTCCACTGTATAAGATACTCTAGAACGTGCTTTGTTTCTTGCTTGAAATGGTCTGTGATATATTTTGTAGAAATGATAGAGGCATATTCTTTCTTTAACTAGATGGCCAAATAGCTAACCTTTGCTGATATTCCTTAGTTGAGCCCCCTTGAGCCTAGACTTGTTATTCATTGAAAACCCTTGAATATGAATAGCCACTTCCCATATAATTCCTCACCTTAATTGAAGATTAAATTTCAGATTTGAAGTAAGGAGTGGATGTAAGTTGTGGTTACACAAGTTTTAATGTATCGAAATACAAGCAAAAGGAAGAGAAATTGGTTAGAACAAAGAAGAGTAAAAATATTACTCAAGAAAAAAGAAAGGAAAAGAAGTGAAAATAAAGAACTGAAATGTTCTTAGAAAGAGAATGACGAAAGATAAAATTTCAAAAAAGAAGAAGAAGAAGAATGAAATGGAAAAGCAGAAGAAAAGTGTTTACAAATTGTTAGACAAATTACGCTTATTCCTCTTTGAATCTGAATTTTAATCTTGAAACTCGTTCTCAAAAATTTTCCCTTCCTTTAACCAAGCCACATTACAACCTTGATGAAAGACCTCTGGATCTGCTTGATTTATCATAACAACTGTGGAGAGCAAGAATATAAGCAAGCCTATGGTAGTGTTGATTCAGTGGAAGATGAGTGAAACACCAACCCCCTAAATAGTTGAGTGTGAGTGAATTGAAATCCTAGTAAGGGAGTGTTTCAGAAATTTTTTCTCATTCCTGATCTTAAGGAATTTCATTGCAACTTTTAACTGATGAATTATGAATCTTGTTGATTGATGTATCATTCTTTAAAGTCTGAATGCTCTATAATCAATTCTGTGATTGAATCTTTCCTATCAAATTTCCATGCAATTGAGAATTCCTGCTCCAAATTCCCTTAGTTTATTTTGATTGATTGCTGAGGACAGCAATATTTAAATCTGGGAATGTTTGATAAACCCTTGGTTTACCATGTTTTTAGGCTAATTTATACAAGAATTACATAATGAATTGCATGGAAATTAGGGCTTTACATTATAAAATCATAAAGATTGGAATTTTTAGCTAATATGTTGTAATCTTGCCTATTTTGAAGGTATTTTGACATAAAAGAATGCTTAATGGAGCAAAGGAACGAAAAGAAGTGTTTGAATACCCAAGGAAGTCCAAAGAAAGCAAGTTACAAGCAATTCACAAGCTGATGGAGAGCGTTTTAGCGCTCAACAGAGCGCTAAAACGCCCTAAAGACTCAAAATAGCAAAAATCCACTGGAGGAGAGCGTTTTAGCGCCCAACAGAGCATTAAAACGCCTTGACAACACAAAGTTCCTTTCGAAGAGAGTGTTTTAGCGCCCAGATGAGCGCTAAAACGCCCTAAGGCAGACAACAATACACTAGGAGAGCGTTTTGGTGTTCTAATGAGCGCTAAAACGCTCTGACGCGTAAAAATTCAGGCCCAATTTTTATCAATTTCCAAATTAGGATTTGAATGAAGATTTCAAGGAGATTTGAATGGAAATTAAAAGATATGTTTCTCCCCTATAAATAAAGGGCCTTGAGACCAAAAAAAAGGGGAAGAACGGAGAGACGTCTGAAGCAGCACTAGGAGGAATCCTGTTGCGGAGCGTGGGAGCACTGAGGAACCAAGTCAACATCACAACAATGGAGGCTTGGGGTTCTCTTTTCTTTATTATTGTTTTTCAATTCAGTATGCTAGACTAAGTTTTTATATAGTTAGGGGTAGATGGAACACAATTGAATCTTTATGTTTATGAATTAAATTGTCTCAGAATTCTTCTCTTTTTATATTTGAATGAATTTATTTGTTTTTAATGCTTTCTATGAGTTTGCTCCTTATAGATTGATTTAGGGGAATTATATGACAATAGCGATGTTGGTGCATGAACACTGACTTGATAAATTCATCATAATCCTTGTGATCTAGGGATAGACATAGGGCAATTGTGCAATCTTTAAATTCTTGATCTTAATGCATGTTTTCTTGGGGAATAATCGAGGAACTAGAGTTCTTTCAAGAGCACATAGATTTAGAGTAACAAGGAATTGAGCCCTAATTAACTTAGAAAGAATTGATTGGCATTATATTAAGAGCAGATTCTTGACCGTTTAATTCATAGCATATAGAGGAGATTGGGGGAAGTCAAAACCCTAACTACGCTTGTTTTTAATCTGTAATCAATCATCATCTTTTTGATTTCTTTTAATTCTGAATTTTAAATTTCATGTTATTGCTTGTTTCAAATTCATTTCTCTGAAATCCAATTCTTGATTGTCCAA